GTGGAGCTGCTTGCTCCTGCTGCCATTTGGCCAGGCAGGGCCGCCGGAGGAAGCGCTTTGGAGAGCCATCCTTTCTACTTGGCCCCTCCCAATCAGCTCAAGGAAATTCATTTTTCATGTTCTGCTCCTTCTCTGCCCACAGATTTCTTTCTCGTGGTGGTGCGTAGGTGTATGTGAGGGATTTATCCTTTCCCCACTGAATCACTGCAGCATAACATCTTTTCAACCCTTCTGTACAGCAGAAAAGAACCTGACGTTATTTCTCCTCATTTTCCTGCTTAAGGAGACATCCAACAAGTTCCCCAGTATAATCTGGCTACATCCCAGCTTAACGCTGGGAAGCGGCACAACACCTTCCAGTCCCCGTGGAGGCTCACCTGGGGCAGCAGACAAGCTCCCTTCTGGGAGCCAGCTGGTCCTTAAGTTGCAGCTGAGTCCACCTGTGGCCAGGCTGAGGTGGCTGGGATGTGGCAGGAGCCCCCTCACTGGCATGGGACTGCCTTGCCACAGCCCTGCTGCAGTCCTTTGCTTCCCTCTCACACCTACAAAATTTTAGCCTTCTTTACAGATTATTTCAGAGAGAATACCATATTTCAACAATTCCACTGCATATGCGTCACTGTGATAACAGATATCTATATGTGTATACATGTATGTGGCTATATACTATAAGACAGTAGAGCTGAGAGAAAAAAATTGCTTATGAATTACAGTGGCACTTTCCAGGTCTGATCTAGCTGTCAGCTGAGAAGTTACTCCATATGTAAGAAAAGGACCAGATTCTCCTACCCTCAGCACAGTATGTTCATCTCACCTCTGTAGGAGTGAGCTCAGTGCAGCAGTCCGACATTATATGCAGTGAAGTGAAAGAATCAGATTTAAGTCAAAGTGCTTGCTAAACCCAAATCGTTGCGCTAATTAATGTTGGTGCTTTAACTATGGACCACTGGAAGACTTTTCATCACCATGTCTGAAACCAGTGTTTTGTGTTTTAAGCTTTCATTATTTCAAAAATGAGGCTCTAGAAGAAATGAGTTCTGCACCATTGTCATGAATAAAGCCATCACCATGACTGGATGCTTTTCCCTCAAACTCTCACATAAATTGCTTGTTTAGAGAAAGACACAAGAGCTTTCAGTGAGTAGCCAGCAAACCAAGTTTATAGGCCAATGAGCTTTTTGGCTGCATGAGAAACAGTTATATCCTGAAATTTAACATTAACCACCATTCTGCAATAGGTATTTAATCTACTAATGCTTTCCAATCAAGGATCTTACAGTATTAAGCTTCACAGTACCTCAATGAGACACCTGTAAGCAGTAAGCACCTTTTCACAAAGGGTCACACTGTTGCCTATTCAACGTCTGCCCAGGATGATACAGCAGGTACGTAACCCCACTTCTAGTTCTGGCTTAAGGTCATTATTTCTTCATAGAGATAACAACCTGAACCTGGTGGGCCTGGCACAGGCCTGTGCGCTCTAACAGGACCATGCCAGTCCAACATCACATCTTTTCTTCTGTCACTTCTCCGCCCACAACAAGTAATAGATTTGAAAGTTTTCTGATTGCATTTGTATGCAGTCTGGAAAATCGTCAATAAACAACTCGCACCAAATTCTGTCTCATCCCTGCATGTTCAAGACAACAGTGCTTAGCTCCTTCCTTCCTGTTCTGTTTCCCCTTCCCTGATGAGGGCAAAAATAATACTGGAAGAGTAGAGGAAAAAAAGACAACAAATATCAAGCCATTTGTTCAGGTTTCCTACACTTAATCTTCTCCGAGTTGGACTGAGAAGACAAGAGGGTTTGCATCCTACTCTGAACCCACCAGACTGAATGGATTCCCCTGTCTGTTTTGAATCACACCTGACTTCTATGTTACCTCAGCAGCCTGCAGGCTTTTTTCTTTTCTTTGAAATTTTTAGCCTCCGATTGGTTCCTCTTCCCTTTTTATACCCAATCTCCAATATGGTTTCTGTCCTCCAACTATATGTTATCACTTGATCCCATCCAGAAAGGGGTTGCCTTTCAGAAAGAAAGTTGAAACATGGTGGATCACCTCCACCAAGGGGCTGAGCAGCAAGACATTCCATCTCTTGAATTCCCCAATACAATCTCTGCAGCCTAATATCACCGCCCAGTGAGGTGGTCTTGCGCGAATACAAGCGCATACAAGAGCGAGAATGAAGAAGGAGATGGCATTAAACAAGACTGCCATGCTGCAAACCCTTTCTGTATTTTATTTCCTCCCTATTTGCCTTGGCCCACTAAATGCCTGCAGGCTCTGCACATAACAAGGCCACCCATAAAGGAGAATTCAACCACAAAAATCAGGAAAAGGCTTCCTCCAGTGAGAGCTGCATTTCAAGCTACTCCCCTCCCCTACCCTCAAGAAAATTAACACATCCCTTCTAAATAACTGTTTAAAAAAAAAAAAGAAAAAACCCTGGGAAAACTAAAGAGTTCTCACAGTGAGTTTTATTTTGTAAGTAACAATAATAAACATGTGAATAAGAACAGGCATCATCTGCAGGGCTGGCCTTGGATTAAGAGTACCCTGAATCTAGCAACTCTTCAAAGAACAGAGGAGGGTAAACCTTAACCTTTGACTCCAGAGACTACGGTCACTCCCATGAGCCACGCTGCAGTCCAAGACCTTTGTCTTTGTCAACGCCTGTCAACCAGGCGTTGAAATATTTGCTATTATCAATCATATGTGCAATCGTGGAATGTATTAAGCCCCTCTCTCCTCTCCCCGGGTTTAAAAAAAAATCATACAGCTGCAAACCAGTAAAAAATTGCTTCTGGCTTATTGAGACTGAAAGGGCCCGTCAGACTATAAACTGAAATATCATTCTAGAGATAACCAGCTGGCTGGGACACAAAGTATTGTATTTACAACTCAAAAATATGGCTGTTATATACTTTAATTCATAGCAAATTTAATACATTAGTGTTTACAAAATAAGTTCTGGACTCAACTGAAACAGCGTGCTGCTTAATAAGTTCTTTTTCCTTCCCTCTCACTACAACTGAAAAGACCAGTAAGCTAGAGAGCTTTTTCTGTGGTCCATGCACAACTTTTGATCATATCAGATGCTGAAAAAAGAACACTTCCTGCATCTTTAACATCTTCTTGATTGATACATTCTATTACTCAATCTGTACAGTTCAAACCTTAAGCTGTCCTTTAACAAGTTCCATACATGTCTCACAAAAACTATTCAGATACTAACCAGTGCACTGGCTAACATTACAAACTGAAGAAATATCTTATCCATATTACTAGCTCACACAACAGGAAAGAGGAAATATAACTACACATTCAATCTCTTATTTCTAACAGCAAAGCTGCAAACTTCATTGCTTGAAGTAAGATATTTCAGTAAGTGAAACAGTACCATACAGTTCAAGAAACTTTTTTTTAAAAAAAACAAACATTTTAATAGTATAAAAAGTTGTTTACTGGTGTCTCTACTATAAAGCTTTGTTCCACAAATCAGAAGTGATAAAATAATTAGATACGTTTACAGTGATAAGAGACTGCAGTGTAGACATTTCAGCTCACATTTTGCTGATCATTTCAGTACAACATACACTGTGACTGAATCATTAATACATACCTAAGACGCAGAGCAAACTGCAGACATGAAGTGCGCACCTGAATATGGAAATTCATCCACTGCACAGTAACTTACTTTCTTCAGCCTTCCCTTTCCCCTCCAGAAAGCACTGCAGCAAAAACTGTATTCAGAAACTAAACACATATAACTACTTTGACTGCAGGAAAGCAACTCTTACTGTGGGAACTGCACAGAGAAAAATGGATGCACATGAACACACCATGGTCAATTCCAAAGTTATATGCCAATTATTTTTCTTTAGATAAAATGACATCTGCAAAAGTGAAAATGTACAAAAAATAAAAACTGTCAAATAAATAATGAATACAGATGTTAATTAAACACAAAGAAACGTATTGGCATACTGTATGCAGTATACGATATATTCATAGAATCATGTGGGCTGGACAGCACTTAATAAGGGGTCACCTACTAAAGATAAAACCCCTCATCTCTCTCCTCCAAAAGATTTTATGGTTTCTGAATATCAAGTGCAACCTTTTACACTGATGCATAAATCCTGCATCATATTGGATCTCTGCCACATCTAGGATTCATTTTATCATTTTAAATATCCACAGAGAAGTCCAAAAAGTTATAATGATCTGAATCACAATTTTTGCAGCCCTGTCCACGCTACCTTGTCCCTTGGGTTTCTTACCAAATGAGATTGTATTAATTGTACAGTATCTCAAACAATGGTTTTTCACCATGAAATTGGAGCTGATAATATGGACTCTTCCATACTCTACTTGGCTTTTCCTACACTCCTGAACTGTAGATAGGTATTATACTACAAGTGTTACACAAAGGCTGCTGAAACCGTTAAAAGTGATGTAACAATAGTGAGTGTCAAGTACATCCGCTATAATACAGGATCAGGGTCTATCAAATGCTATATCCACATAACATTTTAAACCATTAAATATTTTATGCATTTTTCATTTTTCTACAAATATTGTTGCAAACTTGCTGCTGTGTTACAAGGTTTGCATTCCTAATTCTCCAAGGATTTTTAATTCAAACGTATAACAACCATATCTACGCTAGGTACATTTTAAGTAGACACTGAAATTTCAAGTAAAATGAACTGTAGCCACATCTACTGGACTCAATACATGTCCCAACATCTAGATTTACTTTGATAAGTTATACAAATACATAATACATTCTTAAATAATGAAGATCCACAATATTAATTTGTGAATCTTTCCATGTTATAAAACCACTTTTACAGGAATGTTTATCTACCTGTATTACTGTTTTAATTTGCAGTGTCTCTTGCTTTTCTGTTTCCACAGACTACTGTACCAGTTCTTAGGCTTTGGCTATTGAAATCTCTTATTTGAATGAGGCAACACTGGATTTTAAGGCTGTTTTTTTTTTTTTTTCTCTCTCTCTCTCTCTCTCTCTCTTCGGAAGTTTCATTCTTTATTGTGATACCGTTATCCAGAGCAGAATGACTATCTTGTGTCTTCAGGTTCTGTTTTTATGACCTTCCTTTCTATGTTGTTAAAAGCCGAATGAGGAAAATCCTTTAAAATACCAAGGCCTTCTGTGTTAAAAGAAAACAAAAGAAGAGATGATGTTAAAGAAAATACTGCTTGAAACAAATATATTCTGGTCTTAATCCAAGAAAAAGGTCTATGAACTATATGGATACTAACAGTTGAAACAATTAATTCTGCCTCCTACTGGGCTTTAACCCAGATTATAATTATAGCCACACTTACGTTACAGTGATGACAGATTTACTTCAGTTCTCTCAGGGAGCAGGCCTTAACGGAGATGCACTCTTTGCTAGCATTTTGAAAGGGAATTGGTAAATGATCACCAGCTAGAAAGTTCACCAATGAATAATCGATGAGATTGGGACAGTCAAACTGCAAAGCTGAGCTAAGATTACAATACACCAAGGTAAGGCTCCGCTCTGTCTTCAAAATAACCTCTTTTGTATCTCATTTTCCAAACTCAGGTGGGATTTTATTATTACTCCTAAAGCTGAAGTTGTGAGCATCTCAAGAATTCCTGGCTTTACCTCAGTGCACCAGTTATTACATGGAAACTGCTGATACAGAAGTCACAAGAAGGCTTCTTGCCAACCTCTACCAAACTCATTCTGAGTTACTCCCATTGTCAGAGGCAAATGACAGGATAAACAGTGAGCAGAAGTCAGTGAATCGAAAACCCAGTCCAAGAAACCTACTGTATTATTTAGTTCAGAGTAGAAAAACAATACTAGGTCTTTATAAACCAGACTTAAAAGTCCTTTTTTATAAAGAGCCTATTTATAATTTGATTGATTTATACAGAGTGAAACCATGGTATAATCAAACCACTTTACAATTACAGCAACATAAGTATTTAACAGAGTAGTTCTGGTCAATAGTTTATAAGGACTGACACGTGCCTGAACTTGCTTATCTGAACCTAGTAACTGCATTTTCTAAGCTTATTCCAACTAATGGTCATCCTCTTTCTAGACTACAAGTAACATTACTCTTAAGTTTTGTCCTAAGCCTTTGTTAAAAGGTTACACATAAAGCACGACAGAATAAGCTACGCTCTTCACTCAGAGACACGATGTAGTAAGTAGTTCACCCCAGTCTTGCTAAGAAACTGTGGTTCTTTTACAAGGGACAGCACTAACCCGAGGACTGAGACTTTGCCTCACCACTGGGGTAAAGTCGGATCAAATCACTGCACAGAGGCTTTCCAACATGCTGTTCTCCATCAAGTGAGATGTGTTGCAACTGTCTACTTGGCAGATTTGACATTCGGAGATTCAACGGTCTCTCACCTGGAAGTTGTTCACAATGAAATATTGATGCATTAAGCAGTGTTAAAAATCAAATAAGAGACTTAAAGAAACACTAATTCTATTAGAAAAAACACATCCTGAATTCCAGTTGCTCAGAGAAGATTTCTAGCAAAACAGGGCTTATGCAAGTGTGCTGTTTTGCAGACTATTCTCTTCTTATCAGACCACAGGCACTGCTACAAAGTGACCATCAGCCATATAGAAGTCTCTTACTCTGATCAAAAAACTCTTTAAGAACCTACACAGTCCCACTCCACAGTGGATAAATGTATAAAAAAAACCCTCACACTCAAGAGGAGCTGGATCTGCTCATCTAATTCTTCTAGTATACTTGTATACTGCGTTGCTTGACCAACGTACACAAATGAAATACTGTGGACTAATGTTTATGTTTATCTACTTCCTTAGCTTCTCCCTCTACTGCTTTTCTTCCCTCCTTAAACAAAACTTGCCTTTAAAAAAAAAAACCAAAAAAGCTTCTGGTTGTATTTCTTGCATGTGATTATAACATTTTCTCTCATTTCACAACAGTAAAAGAGAAATCCAAACAGAAAGCACTCAAGCAACCCAAACACTCCTAAAATTAACCCACACTGATGAATAGCCAGTTAGTAAATTGCAGAGATAATCACAGAACTATAAGCTTTCTGAAGAATAACAAATTATGAAGAATATTATAATAACCTGCTTACGTCTAAGTAATTTAGATAGCCAGCTCCTCAACTGCACAAACAGGGAAATAAGAAGGGGTACCAACTGCACTATAAACTTTAATTTCAACTTCCACAAAGTTTAAAAAAAAAAAAAAAGCAAAATTCAACATTCTGGTGTATTTTCACAACTTAGGATAATCCTAGAGCCAAGTTCTACCCTTAGTGAGTGCACCTCACATTCTTCCCTCCCCACATGTTATCTTTAGGGAAAGCAGCTTGCCCAGAGATACATTAGAGTAACAGAGCAAAATCTGCCTCTGCATCTGAATGCATTATTTAGACTGTAAGCACTTCAGGGGAGAGATCTTGTCTTGTCCATTCAGTACTCAGTGTTGTTTGTGCTGTGCTAGATAAACAACATCAATGACAGCAGTTGCATAATATCAAATGCATTTGCTGGCAGCAATGCCATGCCTGGAAGCTACTGTACCTTGTCCATCAGCATTATCTAATGCCATGCCATTGGGGCTGTACTCTTCCGAGTTTTGCCTGTAACACCCTGTGGAAAGACGTCTCTCTAATCCAGCCTGGTTGCAAAGAAACTCCATCTGTTTTGCCATCACCTTTTCAGACTGCAAATAAAGCAAAAAACCAATCTCTCTCTATATATGCATCTATATATAGTGAGTCTAAACACAGGAGAAAAACAGTATCAGATGATAAGACTAACAGCCTAGATATGTTTTTTGTTGACTCATATGTACAGATGTGTGCTTAACAGTTTCTTCAAAACTATCAAGCAAACAAAATATTTTTGCAGCCATAGATGTACAGTAAGAATATCTCTGAGTCACTCAAAAGGACTAAAAATGTCAGCTGCTGTAGTTCATCCATGCAAAAATGCAATGCTAAATTCTGTTCCTCAAAAATGTATTTTCTACACTTTAGGACTGCAGGTTACCTGGAGAGAAACTCAACAAAAGCAAAAGATAACGTCTTAATCATCCAGTTTAGCTCTGCTCAAATGTACGTCTCCACAAAGTATTCCAAGAGCAATGGCAACATCTGCTAAAAAACTTATGCCAAGATTTCACCAGACATCTTGGAATCTTTATTTCAGGATACAGCACTATACAAGCTTAAAAATCTGCCATCCTGAAAGTGTAGGATGACAGTATGTTTGTGGGGGATAAAGGTGTGAAATGTCTGTCTAGAAGAAGAACAAGACCTATACACCTCTAGAGAGTGAAATTAAACAATGCAGTGCAACGTGGGAGGAAGTGGCGTCTGAATGTTTGTCATTGCCTTTAATGCCAAGAGAATTTTAACTTTCAATATAATCTTGCTGAGAACGTAAATAAGCATCTTGCAAAAATAAAATCATAAGTAAAAAAGAGTTGATGTAGAAGAGCCACAATGAACATGAGAAAAACAGAAAGTATATAAAATTAACACCTAGGTATAATAAGAAAATACCTGAAAGAGAAATGAAGTTTCTCTTAATTGTTTCCACATAGCAGAGATGCCTATCAAAAAGAAACAACGGAATTTTGCAGAGCACTTAACTTTTTTGGGAGCTGATGAAAGCCCTGACTTCCCACAGAAGTCTGCTTGCTAAGCATAGTTCAATACCTTACAAAATAACGACAGCATAGCAGACCAGCACAAATTCAGCTTCTCCTGCACAGCGATGGCCCTGAGAACAGGGTAAGAACGTGACTGATACTTACTTACTCCGATTCAGAGGTCTTCAGGTTCTGCAGAAGAACACTGAGCCCTCAGGCTTGGTCTTCGGAGGTACGTAAAGTAGTAAGCTATTTTCAAATAGTACTTTCAAGTGCACTTTAAGTTTGCTATTCCCTGTCATGCCTATTGTTACTTTTGAATTGTAAAACATTTTTTCTAATAAAAAAGTTAAAATTCTCATTCTTGTTATCTTTGTTGTTTAATTGAGATTAAAAAAAAAATCAAAACAAAAATGCCACAAAACCAAAACATTTTAAACTGTAGTGTTTCCGATCACCATAAAAGAAACCGTAGAGCTGAAGATGTACTAGAGCGTAACATAAATTTCTATTCCAATAGAAATGGCCAATGAAAACTTTAACGCACACACAAGATCAAAATAAGCTTGCAAAAAATAAGTTCATTTGGTTCGTTATGCGATATCAGAACACGTAGTGCAATCACTTTTTCATATATCAAAATGAACTGAATTTGCATGACTGTACTAGAGCACTACTTTGCAATACAATAAAAGAAAAGATAACATATCTATTCTCAGAAGACAGGAGTACAACTCTTAAATGTTGTCTTACATGAAAATTTGGTGATTTTATTTGCCCAAATCAGCTATACAAAATAAGTTTGTTGCAATTTAACAGGAAATCCCTCCTTGGCAACCAATTGACAGTAGGAAAACAGGAATTGGGGCTCAAGGCTGGGATACGCTACAGAAAAGACAAAGAAAAAACAGGAACTGGTTTTGATGAATAAAAAGCTTTCTGGGTGTTCTGCAAACACTGCACTTCCACCAGGCTGGGTGTTATTTAGAAAGGCAATTTATCCTCTCAGATCCAGAGGTCCGTTTCCTAAATACACTGGACTTTCTACCTACAGGAAGCATCATAGCTGAGGACTCCAAGATCACCTACTCTACTTATTCCACTAAACTCAACAACTAGAACTTTCCATTTATAGCTGAAAACGCACGTAATATAGCACATACTGTACCAACAGTACCTGCTTGCTCCCAACAGCCAATCACATCTTTCTTTTCAGGCCTACCAGACTAGATCGTTACCTCTGTAGAATGAACAAGGGTAAAGCTGTAGCCCTGTCAGAACAGTTTCAGAAGGTAAATCCTAATTAAAAGCAAGGCAATCACAGCTAACCTAGGCAGCCTTTGCACACTGAAGGTAGTAACTTTAGTCATGAAAATAACACATCAAAATCATTGTACAAAGACACAGCCTCTATTATTCACAGTCTCACATAGCTGATTTACCTGGGAATTAAGAGCTGCTGAGTCTTCACTCTTTCCTTTAGCCAAAGCAAGGGGCATTTTGTCCTGCTGATAGAGCGTTTGGACTGTGTCCTGGAAGTCAGGATAACCATCCTAACGAGCAGAAGAAGAAATCACACAGCAAGAGAGACGTTATTATTGATTTTTCACAAAAAAAGTATTCCTGAACTTCTGCCAAAATTTTGAACTGGAATTTAAGTGATTGTGCTATACACTTCATTTAAGTATGTATATAAAAAGCACACAGCTCCTTCTACAACAACTGATCTATATCTAACATGGCACAGTCTACACAGATCTACACAATCATATCTCATCTCTCCCAGTTACAATGTGAATCCAGACTACTGTCATCACTGCAATCAAATAACTTAAATCCAGCCTTGCCAGACAGATTGAGGCCAATGGTTTTTCTCCTTCTTTATATACAGCAGCTTTGGGGGTTCTTAAGAAGTCTAGTTTACATGTAGTCAAGACTATAGGGCAGCAGCTGGATTTACTAACCTTAAGAAACTGAGTAAAGCCTCACAAAATTCACCATGTTTCACAAAGAAACTACACGGGTATCAAAGCATGGAATACCACCATTTTACAAGTAGAGTAACAAAAGCTTTATGTACCATGGGAAACCATGATTCAGTAATTCTTTCAGTCTCAAACGGTTATGACATGCAAATCTCTTTTGCAGCTTGCATATGCACAAATGAAAGTCTGCTAAACTGTTAAACTGAATTAATTGTTGAAGCAAAGGTTCAAGATGAGAAATTTATCCTGCTAGGGAAAGCTCACGTAAACCACAAGAACACCCATAAATGTCCACAAAAGCACACTTTGGGTGATTTTGTTAAATTAAAAGAGGAAGCTAGAGATCTTAAGAACGCGTCAAACCCAAAACAGAGACACTCATACCTGAGGAACACCGGACTCAGAATATCAAATATATGCCAAAATATGTACGTTTTTCTTTGGATTCTGAAGGCACATGACTGGAAGGAATAAGATCTTTGGCAATAACTGAAGAAACAGGTTACATTTCAGGAAGATGAAAAGCTATCTTCCAGAAAAAATACAGGGAAGAAACCCTACAATGTCTATGCAGTCGGCAGGCTCCACACTGACCTGTACAGTGGTGGTCAGACCTTTGTCAGCCCATGCCTCAATAATGTAATGCCAATGAAGTTAAAGTTTACACTCATTTAAAAAAAAAAACAAAAACAAAAAAAAACCTTCCTGAACACTGTATATTGCTTTCATCCATCCAACATACTCTCCCCAGGGAAAAATAAAACATGATAGGTATGTAAAAATTCATAACCAGGTAAACTGCCACAAAACCTCATCCTCTAGAAACAAAGACTTAGTAGTGCATTTCCATAAGTGCTGACCACTTTTCTAGTTAGACCTGAATTTGTCTGGGAGAAGAGAATGATTACATGTACGAAGATGAAAGATTACATGTACGAAGATGAAAGAGGGAATGCACAAAAACCTATCACTCAGGATCATATTTTTGCAACAAATCACGTAATGTGGTTCTTTAAAATGCATCTATGATCACATGCCTACACAAAACCAAAGGCAGTTTCCTAAAAACAGGCCTCACAGCTTGCTGGTGACTGCTGCCTGCGACTCCTGCACACAGCTCTTGGACGACAACGTAATTCTGTATTGCCTTCTTGAAGGTCTTGTTGCTGGCCCTTCTCATTCCCACTGCCCTGTCAATAAGGACTGATGACTAACAGGTTGTGCTAGGCAACCTGTCCCACACCCAGTTTGTCTGCCTGTTTCTGCTGCCTCCTAGGTCGGCAGGACCCTGCTGCATGCAATGTAGCATTTGTATTTTGCCATGCTGCTGGCTCAGTTGTTTTTCAAGTGGCTTCTTACAGCAGATGTTCTCAGTCCCACATGTGCTTTTTCGTTCGCTCTAATGACATTTTTCCTATGCAAACAGTAGGTTCTACTGCTTCTGCTGTTTTCATGAAGGTGACAGAAATCCCACACTGGTACTGGTATTCTTTTCAATCTCCTCAGCCATGACGGAAGCAGGCATAGGTCCTTTCTCTCCTCTCTCTCTATCTGTACTGGCACCAACAGGAGATGTTTCCTCACAACCTCCACTTGGATCTTCCATTCCTGTCTGTGTCCCCCCTGCTCCCACCGAGCTTTGTGAAATTAACTTTCGCAGGCTTTCCCCACTTCTCCGTTCAGCAAAAAAGGTGATGCCGACACATCACTGGCCCACAGAAAGCAAGAGTGTTTTTAGTTTTCCCTTTCTTTGCCCTCTTGACTGTCAATACTGTATCTGGAAGGGTAATCTTTTCATTCACAATACAAAGCAGCAGTAATGATGATGAGCAGGCTTTCCCTCTGTGCCTTTTGCAAAATATATCTGAAACTTATTTTGCTTTCTGAGCTGGTGCCTCAACACCTCAGCGCTCTGAGCAGTGCCGGTACTGAGTCACCAAAGATGACAAAATAAGGGATGCCCCCGCCCTGCTAAATCCATGCAAAAGAGATGGCTGGTCCATAGGAAGAAATGCTGTTTCCATCCCTGTTCTTCTATCCTGCTCTTTGTCCAGAATGGATTTAGGAACTGCAACTCTGTTTTCTATCTGGTTCCAACTCCTAATTCATTCCATACCTTGTTTCATTCCCTCTATGTGATTCTTTGTGTGTGATTCTGCGTTTGCCTGGAATTTTTTTTCCCCTCTTCTCTGTACACTTCACTCCCACAACTTGCCCACCCACTCTACGAATAAGAGGGGGAGCACACAGGGGAAGAGAAAGGCTTTTACAGGTAATTTGATGTAATTCACAGCATAGTGTTTCTTTGTAATGCTTGTGTGAGTTCTGTAGTCAAGAAGAGGATAAATTTACAGTGGTGGCTGAAACCCAGCAGCGTTTAAGCTTACACACAAAGCTCTGCTAGCTCTGCTCAAGTGTGACCTTCAGAATCTCTATGGAGGATTTTTTTAATTATATTTTAGGAAGTTGACTCATTTTTTTTAAAGTAATCTTTTGCACTTAGCCAAACAGGGTGTGAAATCTTTCCAAATTCAAGCACTAGCATTTTAGACCAAGCTTTGCAGAGGACATTAGTCACTAACGGGCAAAGGAATGGTTAATCAATATAGAGCTCAGCCTTGCCTTAGAACAGAAGGGCAAAATGACCTTCGCTTAGAAGAAAAAAAGAAGAAAAAAAAACATTAAAGCCAGTTACAATAACAATCACCTGTGTTCAGATCCTCTGCATAACACCAGTATTAGTGAGCTATTCTGAGACAATGTGAAGAATTACAACTTTCAAAACAGAGACAGTATTTCTCATCCAGAACAGAAATGCTCTGTAGCGTTTGCTACCACTTTCATTTTACCTCCACTTTTCAAAAAAAAGAAAAAAATTCCCAAACATAATACTAATAAACACAAATTTTTTGCAAAGTGCAACCCCCAAAAACTGAAACACCACGTGCAAAAGTAATCTGTATAATAGTCCCTCCCTTAAAAAAAAAGAGAAAAGCCCATGATTTGCAATGTACCTCAGACTCGCAATGCACCAAAGTAACTGTCTCACTCCTTAGAAGATTCCTAGATTTGTTGGGAAAAAGGTATTTATAATGACACCAGTCATTTTATAGTTAGGTAAGGCTATACTACTGAATGAAATATTTAATTTTCCATTTCTTATTTTGAAAAAGCTTTCTGAAATAGTCAGTGGTACAATTATCCTAAAATTCTACTAAAAAGATCATAAGCACTTAAAAATATTGCTGGTAATTTTAAGTTAAGAAAAAAAAAAGCCCTACGTAAACATCTTCCTCAGAATTACTGAACTAGAAAGAGTCTTTGAAGAAAACAGGTATTTAAGAAAAAAATATTTTCTTATTCAGAAAATAAGAGACTGTACCCTCCCTAAGGTTGTTCTAATCCTCCCCTCGCTCCCCCAAAAACCTGAACTTTCAGCCTATATTTTTCAGAGCTCTAATTTTACTTTCATTTCAACAAAGATCCTACTTAAAAAAAACAAACCACCTCCCTGCAGTGTGTCATTTTAGATGCTTGGTTATCATCAATTATTACTGAACAAAGGAAAAACTTTTTAAAGGTGAAATCTATTAGCTGTGGAGTATCAGGCAGAGAAGCGGCAGCTCCCCACACTAGATTGGATGAAAGAGGGAAGAATCAAGCGACCATCCTGCCATATATCGGTCAAGGCTGATAATGGTATGAAGATGGATTAAATCACTTAATGCAGCTTTTCCTAGCTCTCTTCCGGACTGAAGAACAAGCACAGGTCAAAGCAACTCCCCAAAACATCTAAATGACATTACAGAATTATCATCAAAGCTGCTAGGGAACCCTTAGCACACATGTATAATTTTTATTATATAAGCTCAGAGTACAACTGTACACAAACCGCTTGAACTTAAAAAAATTCTACTCATAACTGGCTTTTCAAAACTAACTGCCCTTGCTGGGATTCATCATGTGGGAAAAGCCCTTGTACATATAACAAAGCACCGCACTGCTGAAAAACAGTAGGCCTTACAATTGGTGCATCACTTATCACAGAATGAGTTAGATATGAGAAATATGTATTCCAGAATACTACAAACCTTTCCTCTGCAGTTAAAGAGTAAAGAATGTATCACATAGCTGTGTGACATGCAATTTCAGCACAGGTCTACTATACATATTAATCTGCATTTATACATTTTTTGGAATAGATAGCACATTAAAAAACCTCACAGCACTACAGATGAATTAGACATTCATGTAACAGTGAAAAGACAATTAGTTTAAAAATAAATAAATAAGGAACATCTACTATTCTTATGAGGTATATGGGTGTATATATATTTACTACTTTTTATGCAAGTGACAAGGGCTCAAACGTACTTTCCAGCAGTGGAAACTCAAGAGAGAGTTATTCTACATATATTCTGATTCTGCACTCCTAACAAGAAGCTCCCAGGAGATCTTGCATTTCCCTAAGCAAAAGTTCATGCAGGTATACATGTTAGCTGTGCATACACATCATCTTTATATAAAATTAATTACAAAAAAAAGTAAGTAAATATCTACAAGTCCAACAATGCATGTTTACGTATAGTTTTCAGTTAACTTTTGGCTTCTCAATGTTGTGGGTTTCAGAATTTATAGCAGCCAGAAATGGCCAATATGCTGCCATTAATTCCTACTCAAAACACTCTGGACTCTGTAACATTCTGGTCATGATGAAAAACTGACTCAAGCAATTAAAAAATACACACACTGACTTCAAAGCAGTAGGCCTTATGGAAAGATAGTTCCCATAAGTTCTCGAGTTTATTCCACTGCAGGAAGTCAGTCAGTCCCATTCCTCCCCCTCCTACCCACTTGGAGGGCAAAACATTGAGAGTTAATTTACCATGAAGCAAATTGTAATCTTAATCTTTACCCTTTCTCCTACAGGTTCTTCCTATAAGCATTTATATTTCCTGAAACAATGGCGATACTTGCTCTTGCACACACATGCACATCACCTCTCTGTCAGATTCTTTCCTGACAAGTTTCTTTAGACAGATCCCTGATCTTCAAGATAAAAATCAGTTTTAGCATGCATAGGTCAAAATGCAGGAGTCACAATACCGTACCTCTAGCTTAATCCTCTTTGGTGACAGTTCATCCCTTTCTCCACATTTAGATCTAGAAGAAAAGATACATACACTATCAGAACACAGTAGATTAAACTCTGATTATCAGAAACAAGCATGAAAAAACAGTATCAAGACAAAAAAAACCACCACCACCACCACACACACAAAACCCAGGTGAGAACAAGCGAGATCCTCAAAAAAGCCTCAAATTCACTTGGACTTGGCAGTGAAAAAAATCATATTGTCTTCAAAAGCGTCCAAAGATCCACGTATTCTTCATCTGAACAGAAGGGAAACCTACTTGAGCACAGAGAATTACAGAAACGCCTTTGGCTTTGCCTACCCTGAATAAGCATACATTTACATTAATTGACATTGAAGAACAGAGAGGGAAGGAAAAGCACAAGAATTACTAGAACTGTACAAAAATATATTTGAATTATATTTTATTAAATGTCAGGAAGTTAACATTTGACAGCAACACACCAAGGGTCAGGATTTTTCATTGCATTTATTAATTCTAAAGTTTTAATTGTTTAAAAAAACAATCATCATGCCTTTGTTACTTTTTTGGAAAGTAGTTCACTGAACATTAACAACTGAAACTAGGATTCAGCTTCAGTTCTTTTAAAGCAAGTTTGTAATCCACTCCCTGTGGCCTTTGTCTTTTTCATTCCCTGAAAACTAACAAGTCAGACATTTAAAAACAAATGAACAAAAAACTCCCAATATATATTCAGAAACTTTGGCTACTCTGTCCATTTATATTAACCTTGAAATGAACAAATGCCTCAAAGACTTAAAATGCTAGTCTCTCAGATGCCACTCAGCACACTAGTTCATTACAAAATCTAAAAAGCTAGACAAAAAATAAAAATTCAGCTAATTACTGCTAATCTTAGCAGTTTGAATGCTTCACGACTTACATAGCACTTTCCTCCTCTCATCAGGAGAGCATTTTGCTAGCTACAGAGCAAGAAGAATGCATCTCTGCTGCTTCAAAATAAACACTATCAAATTGACTAGTTCACTAGAAGTAAAGGTCCCTTGAGTTAATCAAAACCTTACTTGGTGGTCCTGTAAGTATACTTGTATGTAACTTCTCGAGAGATCTGCCGAGCTAGCGCGAAGAGTTCATCCCTCCTGGTCAACAATGCATTATCTTTTACACACAGCTGAGCGGCTGCTTCATTAACTGTGAGCTGGGAATTAAACACAAAAAACAGAGATTCATGATCTTGCAAACCTTTACCCATTGCGCTTGTAAATGTACTTATTCTTCTGAAATAATAAAAGATTTCAATGGCAAGTAAAATTACTTAAAATTGTACACTAAACCCTGGAAGGTTTCTTCAATCTATGTATATCCTTAATAACAGAAAAGCCTCCAGAAAGAAAAAAACCCATATATATACACATAGCTGCTGCACTTAACATCCTTTAAGGTAAAATGTTGTTGTAAGACTCGCTTAATGTGCACTGCTTGTGCCTCATCCCAGCATTAATTAAATTTCAGTATAAAACAGTAGCTCTAAATGTTCAGTGTTTGGCTCCCAAAGCCTAGTTTACAGGGAGTACTATTTTTATAAATGCAATATGCCCAGAACTTGAAAAAAACTACTGACAGTGTGGGTACAGATGGCTTTCCCTGGCGAATATGGCATAAATTCTGTAGAAGGTGATGGTTTAAGAAACGATTAAACTTTTTTTAGCTATGTTTCTCACCCTTATGTTTGTGAGGACTATCTTCAGACATGAATTGAATGCAACTTGTTTCAAGGATGTTTTCCTGAGCCTGCTGGGACACATTTCTAGTGCCTCTGCTGTTGGCAACAGTTTCATAAAGAGATATTAAAAAAAAAAAAAAAAAAACACAGCCTTAAGTTAAGGCTCAAAATGGTTTTGTAATGCTTTTCAGTAGCCTACGGGAAGTGGTGATACCGTCGTGAATTATACCAGCTTAACAATATTGCCGTTTGAAAAGCCTATGATCAACAGTGAGGACAAACATCAAAATTTTTTATGAAAGGAGAGACCCCAAAACCCAGATGTTGGAGATGCTGTATAAGAGATTCCCTGCTCCTTGCACTCAAAGAAGGGGCTGAAGAGACATTTTCACCTGCTCTTCAGCTGAGGGACAGCTGACACTTGTAACGAGACATAACACCAAGCAGACCACAAACTATTAAGGGATTTTTTCCAAAGTGCACACAAGTGTTGAGCCCTTTGTTTTTTTAAAATTAAGCAGCTTTGAAGCGATTAGGCTTCTCACAAATCAACAAACTTTATGTTCTTTATCTGCCTCAGGCTAGTGAATGCTGTAAGGCAGCTAGGTTTTTCACAGCACAGTCAGCATGCTCATCATGGACTGAGTTGTATCATTCTCGTTCCTTGACCTAACAGGGCTGGCAGTGTAAGAGAGCAACTGTGACCCCAAACACCTGAAATACAGCTCTAACCAGAAGCTTTTTTCATAGAAGCAGATGGGCAGCGAAGCAGAGGACAGACCAGCAGGTCTGCAGTTACATGGACTCTTTTGGCAAAAAGGCCGTGACACTCAGTCCTTTACCCCACGTTACTGGCGAATTAAACCATAAAGGCTGGCAACTCACCTAAAATATTGCAAAGTCCATCCCCGAAGGATGGAAGCTGTCACATAACATGAACATAACAGGAATATGCTGTCTTTAACCACAGTTTTTGATATCATCAGAATTAGAAAAAAAAGATTTGCTCTAATGTGATGCTAGTTCTCTGGGAGATTAAAAAAACCTAAAAATAGGCATCAAAAGAGCTGAGATTCTCTCAGCAGTGAGTGCCTGTGCAGTGTTTCTAGTAAAACCCCATAAGAAACTGCTGTCCCTAGTATTTCATAAGCATTTTTTCCTGTTTAGCATAAAAGCATCTGACATGATTAGCATATTTCCTGTGATACCTGAATGCTAATCAGACTGCAAACATGCCTTCTAATACATAAGCTGGATATACTGCCTGATCTCATAGTCTCTGTAGAGTCAAAAATCTCAGAAACTAGATGTACAAAGGTGAGAAGTTTAGATTTAATGTGTGAAATATCACCAGGATACTATGTTTCTATAACATAGTGTAATAAAATAACAAAGTATTACCCACTGGACAGAAGTAGTTGTCCTACAATGTCTATCTTTTCAGAAAGATCACAAAATAACACAAACATAAAGGATTAAAACAACATTTATGAAAAGAATTGCTACCCAAAATAAGTATTAATTTCTGTAACAGTAATAGCTGTTACTTTGCACAGGATAATATGGTTAATGCTTACAAAACAGTTCAAGTTATTTTTTTATACCTTGCTGAAGCGTTAAGAGGTCGCAAACAACTGAAAAGACTGAAAATGTTTCAGGTATTTGTAGACACGCTCTGATTATCCTAATACCTGAGGAAAGCTAAACGTTTGTTTTTCCTGGTTTCTCCTTTTAGGTCGCATTAAGACTTAACACATTGAAGTACACCGTGCTTCCTCCCTTTTCAGGAGGCATAACACTACAGCTAGAAAGTGTTGTATGCCTAAAAATAACGATTCCCTTCACTGAAGTCCTAATGATACAGAGTAGTATATAACCATAGAGACTATACAGAGAGGGAAGGATATATACCAGATATATCCTGTATATATTCCCACCTAATGGGGTTCACAGGTTCCCCCACTAAAAACACTATTAATAAATACCAAGCCCTAGTTTCGGTGAGTCAGCAAAAGAAAAGGAAGACAATGAGTTCGACTAAATTCGCTGCTTGTATTTCTTATTCCCATTTCTCATACTGTGCCTCTTAAACAGGATTTTCTTCTGTTTTATAGGTAGCTGGACAAGCACTGAAATATTAACACACCAATTACAAATCTGACTCAAACATGCAAGAGTCACCGAGTTCAAGGGCAAGCCTCATACTTGTTCTTCCTTCAATCCAACTTAAAACATCAAGTGTTCCTCATACATGAAAAGCTATGTAATATTGAAACAACAGGTGGACGGATTAAGGACAGTGTATTTATTAATATTGGAACTCCTTTGTTCCCAAGACTCTGTATCAGATTTTATACTAGATCAGTTTTGCACATAGATAATCCTACTGAACCAATAACATACACTTTCAAAACAGCTCAATACCCACAGCACTCACTGGCTTCTAACAGCAACTGAAGACCTTTGAGAGACTTTGGTGCTCACATTATAACTCAGAAACAGTAATAGTCTCAATAGTTTACCGCTAAGAATTCCATCAAGTTTGAGTTAAATCTGTATGCAACTCTGTTCTGCTCTGGAAGTCAGAGATGCCATGATCTTCTCATTAAGAAGCTATACGCTACTTAAGCTTTTTACATTCACGATGAAATTTACTCAGCTTTTCATTGCCAGCTGCAAAGAGAAACTTTGAGTGTGAGGCAGAATGACAGGCTTGGGATGTATTAACCCATGTAGAAACACAGTATCAGGACAAGCAGAAATTTATCTTCCCAGTTGTTTGCGGTCCTTCCTTCCCCAGGGAATTATTTAGAAGTCATTGAAAACAGCCATTAAAGTTGAATTTACAAAAGGTAATGTCTGGTTTAGTAAATTTTAAGCAAAGAGCAGTTGCCATGTATAGCAAAACAAATTTGTATATTTTCTACTTTAAAATGGAAATAGAAAGCAAGCTGTTCAAGAGAAAATTTTGTGAAATCTGGCCTTAAAAAAAAAACAGTAAGCCCATTATGAGCAAATTCTTCCAATTTGCACATGTGCAGTTCCCACCAAGTTTAAAGAGGCCCCACATGCATCAGTGAGGCAGAAGTCAACCACATATTCCTTTGATCTTGTGCTCTTAATCAGTGATAGTGATAGAAATATTTCCTAAAGTCAAACCCCACTCTCATTCAATTTTTAAATATGGCTTTACAATGACGTAGTAAAGATCTGTAGAGCCACATTAACACACTCCTCCTACAGAGGAAAGTAGCCCTCCTTTCTGCCAGTTCTTTGCTACACTGCCCCTTGAAACTACTCCCCCAGCTTCAGAGCTGCCCTCGAGCCTACCACACATTTTACACAAATGCTGACCCCAGCACCCACCTCACATTACGCTGCTGGATGCCAAGGAATTATACCCTTGAGGAGTCTGCCCAGCCTTCATAGTATTTTCACAGCTGCTACCTCAGAGAGAAAGCGACTGCAAAAGCATGCTGCTGTACATGCTGTAAATCTTGAGTGTCTCTAACCTAAGGTAAGGAGAACCCCATTTGCCCCACTCCAGATTGTACAGCAATGCATATGGATCATCTACCCATCTAAGCCTTTCATGTCCTGCCTCCATCTCTTAAGCAACTTGTCCTCTTACAGGAGAGACTTCTGCAGAGACAGAGGAATAAGACAAGATTTGTTCCTGCTCACTGGATGAATTCATAGATATACATATTCAACACAAAGCCGATACGTGAAAGCTGCACAATTAAAACTATGCAGCATAAGCGTAGCTGACTACTGATAAGTTCCCTTGGAAGTGTCTCCCCAATTTGTAGTAACAAGTCCTTTGAAGTCACTGCTGGTGATAAACAATTGCTCCGTAAGTGTAAAAACGCAAACAAAAAGCTAAATAAGTATTCTTTGTTTTCATTTCCTTTTGTCCTTCTCTCAGGAGCATGAAGAGAATCTACTCTATGGATAACTTGCATACCAACCTTCTTTTTGAAGTGAAATAAGTGTAAAACTAGTACAGTTTTCTGGCACCCCTGCAACATAAACACTGCCTCTCCTTTTGGGAGCTAACTCTTACACGCCAAATTTTAAATCCAACTGAAATTTTGCAATCATTTAACTGTGAAAATGCTGAGGCAGCATTCATACCAGCAGTGTTTTGGCACTGCTTCGAATTAATGTTTGTTCTCCTCTTGTACTGTACTTCGGCACTAGGGAACTATTCCCATCACAGACACACCTATTGTATTACAACATATGCAGCATGAGCTTCAAGAAAGCCAGAACAGAAACGAAGCAGGCCTGAATGCATTTTTAAGAACAGGAAGCAACACAGATGCTCTGCAGGTACTGAAGAACAAACCTTCAGATTTACAGTCACCCATCAATACTGAGGACACTCCTTTCCCTTCCTTCTCACAGCTCTCAGCCTGCACTTCACTTGACTGCCTAAGACCACCGTGCCCAAAGAAACATAGATGTTGTACAATTAAGCTTCATCCCGATCCAGAAAAATAACCAGGTTGAGGGACCTCATCAGCAGAATTATCTTTAAATTGCACAAGCTACAGAGCAGGGTCTACAGGTGAGGAAAGTTAGCGTAGTAACCAAGCTGGGTGAACTTGTTCCAGAAACAAACCATTTTAGTTATCTTCAAAACAACCAGTCTCTTCTCAAAGGGGCAGGGGAATTTAAAGACAGGACTGGTTTAGAGATAGGACTGGTTTAGAAACATGCCGAATGCTTAGACTCCCAAGGGACAAGCTCTGTGCAATACTGGTTTGCTATTTCCGTGCCAAGCTATTTCAAGCCTCTGTTTGACAGACCATACCAGTGACTGAGCACTCTGATGACACGAAGTTGAAATCATCAGCGCATACATGCATACACACCCAAGAAAGGGCACTCCTACTTCACGCAAGACGTCTGTTCCAGGGCAGGCAGGGCTGGCTATGGCCCTTGCAGACACACAATTCTCATTACTCAATGAGAAATGTCTGTATGAAAAACATACCCTATAAACAGCATCTCATAAAAGAAGTAGGAATAGGGGAAGAAGCTCACTGCAGCTCAAGGGATTTTACCTCATGGAGGGTGAGATGCTTGCCATCCTTTCTTTTCGAGTCAAATCTGCCATATATTGCACTGTACTTCCTGATCTCCTCCTCTTTGTGAGGGTCCTCATCACTCATCTCAAAGATGTGACCAATCATCTTTGCCAGTTTTTTATTTGTTTTCAGTAACTCCTTGGCTTCATTCAAGTCACTTTTGGGCAGGGAGGGAACCATACGTTCCACGCATTCAGCAACTGACAGAGCAGCAGCGGCATCCAGGGTCTCACTGTTTTCCTTTGGTGAAGCTGGAGAGCCAAGGTCAGCTGGGGAAAGACTATGTTCACTCTCGGTAGTGTGATGTCCCTGCCAGAGTCTCGGTTCATTGCCACTCTGCAGCGATAAGCTCCCCACCACATCAGATTTGCTTGCACCCACGCTTTGCACGCACGTAGTGGCAGCACATTTTGGAATCTTCAAGTGAGGCTCTCTGGTACTACTGTTCCTTTCATAACTACTGCAGGATATCCCCAGCCAAGCAGGAGAGCCTTCTGGCAGTTTATATATTGGAATGCTACTGACCGGTAAGGAAGTGAGAGGCTGGTTAAAAAGACCAGGGTTCGTGACCCAGTCCCTCAAAGCCTTCTGCAGCCTTCGGACATGAAGCGGCTTGCTAGCCATGCCTACAAGAGCCATTATCTCCAAAAACTCCTCTTCACCTGCTTCACAGAGCTGCTGGACATCATCACCACCCTGCTGAATGAAGGCATCGAAGTAGAATAAGAGATTTGCTTTTTGCAGTATTCGATATAGCTGCAGTTCCCCAAGGGTTCTGGGTAGGGCTGACGCCATCACGGATGACAGAACCTGCAAACAGAAACAAAGAGAGGATGAGCATCGGAGTGCCAACATTAAGATGCATTCCCCCCACCACCCATCCTTCCTAGATTTAAGACTGTTAAAGGACAACATATTCTCTTCTCATTATACAAACATATCAAAATGAAGAAAGGGGCTACAGTTTTCTTTTTCAACTAGTTAACATGTTATCAAGCAGGAAACTTATTTCAGGAACAGAGTGGATAACTGAAACATTTGTGGGGGGAAAAAAAAGAAAAAAAAAAAACAGCAGATAGTTGCAGTGCACCTACAAAGATGATTCAAACAAGAAGCCAGCTTGTTTTCAGCATTCCCACTTCATGTTTGTTCCCAAGAATGTCACTCAATATTGCTCACTGCTTCTACTTGGCTCTTCTTTATATCTTCAGATCAAAATGATCGCAAAGCAATCCGAACAACTACTGAATACTTGATCCCCTGAAGAAAAATTCCTCGGTTTTGACTCTCTTTAGTTCTCAACTCAATTTCCCCCATAGCATGGAGGACTGTAAGAGGAAAGCAAGGAAGAAAGAAGCGTTTTACAGAATCCCAGAAGATTAATAAAGCTGGGTCAGTAAAAGGGTATTTCAGGACCAAGCATTTCTAGCTTTCCCCCTTTCTTTAAAAAAAAAAAAAAAAAAAAAAAAAAAAAAAAAAAAAAAAAAAAAAAAAAAAAAAAAAAAAAAAAAAAAAAAAAAAAAAAAAAAAAAAAAAAAAAAAAAAAAAAAAAAAAAAAAAAAAAAAAAAAAAAAAAAAAAAAAAAAAAAAAAAAAAAAAAAAAAAAAAAAAAAAAAAAAAAAAAAAAAAAAAAAAAAAAAAAAAAAAAAAAAAAAAAAAAGCAACAACTAATGCCTCTGCTGATCTTTATGGCAGCAACATCCACAGAAAAAGCAAAAGTTCTGATAGATTTCAATATCCATAGTTTAAAAACATTCTGAATTCACCTGCCTGTTCTGTTTATTCACAGGCCTGCACATCACTGATACTTATGTCATGAAATACCATTCAACAATACAGCAGTTGTGCTCTGAAGGCTCCCAGCAGACAAACCGCAGCAGTATTCTACCCTTACGACTGCAAAAGGATCATTTCCCCAAGTTTCAACCCCAAAAAACAGTTTCCATAAAATCCACGTTATCCACAATTATCCTGCAAATAAACACTCCAGAGAATTCTAAGGTCACACACACATCCCCCTCTTAACTCCGCAATGGCTTTCACAACTACAAGCAGATAATTTCCAATCTTACTGTATTAAGCTAAACCACCAATCAACAAAATCTAAAGTATGTAATTTGCAGTTGGTGGTGAAAGTAACAGAACTAAAACATGGAGCGAGTCTGCTAACATTACCCTGGTTCTATCACTTTGCACTTTAAAATGGACAGAATAGCAACCTAAAAATCAGTACTTAAAGAACAATCTGTACACACCACACTTTACTAAAATGGTCTCCAAAAGACCAAACAACCCCCCCCCAAACTGATGCAAGAATGAATACGTTTGTGTGCATAACAGAAGACTGCTAATCAAGAGTAATAATGTAATAATGAGGCAGTAATAAATGTAATAATGAGGCAGAAACTACTTTTACATGTTAAGTACTCAAAAAGATGCGTAAGAAACTCAAATGTGAGCTTCAATGAGGAAATCCTTCAAATGCTATATAATTCAGTATCTTAAAAATTGTTTACCTCTCAGAAGTTCTTATAAAAATCTTCCTATTCCATACAAACTTTGACAAGGCAAACATCACTAACAGCTGGCATAACAGCAGTATTTCAGTAAACTGTTCCTACCCTCCCATTTCACATGCTAGGTTGACTTTCTCCCATCAATACCAGAAATTAATTTATATAACTGTTAAAAGAATACCCATTTTCTCTGAAAGTCATCCATCCTTGCACAAACATCTACATAAATCTACATAAACGGTCTTGGTGCAGAGAAGTAAATTGAATTCTGAGAAGAAAGCGGCAGTGGAATTACACACAGCCCAAGAGCTCCAGGCAAGGCACGGAGCTAATTTTTCCAGCCCACAGGCTGGAAGAAGCAGCAATAGCCCATGAACAGTCTTTACCTAGAGGCTTCTAATCAACAAATCTCCTCATGTCAGATAAAACTGGATTAATATGTAGCATGGAGGCGTCAGTAGCGAGTCCACAGTTCAGAATGCACCGAGATTTGCCTTGAAAACAAGACTGAAGTCCCTCTGTTTTGCACTTTAAAGACCGATTTTGTTTTCCAAATTTAGCACAATAACTCCTGCGAGGACCATGCAAATTTTCCATTTAAGATCACTACTAACTTCTGCGGAGAACATATTTTCAAACACTCCTCCTTATGACCTTTTTTTCCTCCTCTCATTAAATCTAGTTCCTTTAGTTCATCTGCTCTCACCCCAACACCCCGAGTACTTCTGAACTTACAAAACAGAAATGGTCCCTCCCTTCTTCAAGGGAGCCTTGCTACGTGGTCAGCTACACTGGTTTTCAGATGTTACTGGTCTGTCCCACTGGCTCATCTCAGCTCACAGACCACAAAGCCAGACAAGGACGTAAGCTAGTCAACGTGGCAGAAGATAACGAGGACCGGCAAGGAAAATAGTCTGTGGGAATCAGATGGGATTGCTGAGCCAGAGGGTACTGAGCATTGCTATGGCTGCCTGGCTCTGCCAACCAATCAGGCGATGTCAAAGCTTTAGTGCACCCACTCAAGTCTCTGTGCCATATGTCTTTCAGGTGACCTGTAAGCAGTATTTTCCACTACTGTCATTCTCATTTCTTGATGCAGCAGCAAAAGCGCTTTTGGGGCAAAGAGTAAACATGAGAAGAGGTTAAGCAATGAGAAGACACGTCACAAGCACACATCCAGGAGACTTGTGCATGCTCCTCACCAAGGGGAGCACCCTGTGCAAGACCAGAAGACACCATGTGCATTTCCCCTCTTCCACAGTATCCTTGGTAAGTCATAGGCCTTCTCATCTGCAATCCTAAATAAATCTGGTTCAGGAGCAGCAGTCTAGTAACATCCTCTGGCAAACCACAAGAAGCTAAGCAGAACGAGTTGCTGCCTTAGGAGAGAGGCAGCAGATCATCTTCTAAGGCACGTCCAACTGCAAACCCCTTCATGGCAAGAGACAGGAACGTAAAGCTGGCATTGGAGGGTCTGCAAGAATAAATGAACGCAGCAACAGCAGTTTGAACTGCTGTTTCTCCCATATCCGAGCTCATCGTCCATGACAAATAGTAGG